CTGGGTGTATGCCGTACTGTTAAAGCAAGCTGACTTACAGTTGGAAGCTTCTCTGTGGTCTGTGCGGCGCCCTCATTAGACAGATCCTGGGTCGCCGAGACCCGGTGGTGTCCCCGGTGGTATGAGAGGTTGGTCTGTTGGGGGTGCGTGTCAGTATGGCCGCCCGCGTTCTCGGCTGGCCATACTGGCGTTCCCCAGCCGGGTATAGCTCCTCCCACTCTTTCTCCGTTCCTGACCGACGCGGCTCAGCCCGGCCAGCCGAGAACGCGGGCGGCCATACTGACACGCACCCCCAACAGACCAACCTCTCATACCACCGGGGACACCACCGGGTCTCAGCGACCCAGGATCTGTCTAATGAGGGCGCCGCACAGACCACAGAGAAGCTTCCAACTGTAAGTCAGCTTGCTTTAACAGTACGGCATACACCCAGTTCTTACACACCAAGATCCACCATCTTCCCCCATCGCATAGATCTACTAGATCCACTCCGTTCACGTCACTCCTGGTAGTTGCGCTCCTGTCCTTTGAGTTTTTATCTGCAGTTACGAATAGACAGGGTCCTCTCCCTGTAGTGAGGAGCTTTGCACACCTACTAACATCAGCCATCCCATTGAAGTTTGCCCACAGGATTGCGCTTTATCTTTTTTTGTGTTCTTAATTTGTATTAAAGTCTATCACGGAAGTGAGCTTGGAGTGGTGACTACTTTCTAAACACACATAGGGACAATGGGGAACAAAAGTAGCCACCCTCCAGGAGGAAGGACAGTGTCACCACCAATTCAGAGATGATTTGAGGATCTACAGCTGAGTGACAGACACATAAGATACATTTTTATTAAACGTTGGGATACTTGAATGTATTTTTAAGATTTACCTCCTGAGTTTTGTGTCAAGTTAAAGAGGAGAATCTGGCTGATTAGTTGCATTGGGGAAAAACTGATTGTAAAACAATATTCCCCACCTCTGTAGATTAGGCCGAAAGGGCCCTCAATACAAACCTACCTGCATAGAAAACCTTAGGATTGACATATGAATTTAGCAAAGGAGGTTTAGAACAAAGCAGTCAGGATTTACCCTACAAATAAAACACGGAGGGTTATGAGATATGAAAGATAGGGCATAGGTGGAGCACCTACTAGAATCGGACCTTCACTCCAAAACACCCATTTACATCTTAGTCATCTCCCCTTCCAAACCTAACTTTTTAGAAAACTTTTTTGGCCCACCCCGCCCCCTGCCTCCATTCTTGCCTAGGCAAGAATGACATCACCTTCTTCCTGCAGCCTCCATGGGACATCCACACCAGATATTCCAGAAGGCATCCGCTCAGGCATACACAGCGCTGCCTCATTGTGGGCCGGCTGCAAGAACCTGGAAGAGACCGCCGGCTCCCAATGATGAAAGACAGGAAGATGGTGGCACGGGACCCAGTGTGCAGAGTGCTAGATCACAACAAATCAGAGAGAATATTTCTTGAGCACAACCCAGCAGAACAAGGATGGAAAACAAATGAAAGCGGGTGAAGTTTTACCTTCAAGTAACCAGATTTATTGTTTTCTCCACTTTCAGATCCAGAGGTAATATAGCACTATAGACCTTTATATAGGAGTACTGTAAACTATAGCTTGTTCGTCCCCTCCACTCTCCATATATCAGCCCGCATACCCTTTCTTCCTCACAAGACTGCCTTGTCTCTTCCAGTCACCTTAGATATAAGCTGGTTATTGCAACTAGATAAAGAGAAATATTTGATAAAGAAGGTAAGTGAGTCACAGCTAATTGCCTAGCATACAGTGAAATAAAGCACATTTGTATTTAATCTGCATAACCTACAAGTAGAAGTATCAATCAATAAAATCTCATACAAGTGGTAGCTTCTTAATGAAATTTCAAAGTTGTTTTCAATATTTGTTAATCTGAAGCTTTCATTTGAATAATATCTGCAGATGCTGCCACAAAGTTCCTTGTGAAGGCACTTCCTGTTATGGGGTGTTAACACTGCCCCTGTCTCATAATTCTGCTCCAGCATTGTTAGCCTGTCATATGCTCTCCCGATGGAGACGACAACCACAGGTATGTTCCACCATTGTCACCATCAGTGAACCTGTCCTGGGCAATGATGTGCACAATCAATTAAATGCATGGGAAAGAGATGAAGTGGCTGCAAAGAGGTTGCGGGAGATTAGCAGCACTGAGATGCAACGGAGATGGAAAACAAATACTACTTAAATAAACAGAAACATTTTCTGATGCAGTGCTTTGGAAAAAACTCAGGCAGATATAACCTCTAAAAAGGTACATGCAAACCCAATGGCAAGTAGTAATGCAGCCATGTAAGGCAATGGAAGTATCAGCATTGCAATGGTTACAGGAAAGGAAAATGAGGGAGAAATGATAAAGGGGACATAATACCAGGAGAATTTGCTATAAAATCCCTGTGGAGGAATGCGGAACACACTACACCATGGCATTGGGTGCTCCTAGGTACATATGACTGGCACATTACACCCTGTACAGATGGTGGGGGCACATCCTGCAAACTGACAGTAGGTACTCCTAGGTGTGCAGTGCACATAAGTCTGGCACCTCATACCATGCCTTGCATAGACTGCTGGGGGCACATCTTACCCCTTGATTGTGGGTGCTCCTAGGTGTACACAGCACATATGACTGGCAAATCACACCCTGCACAGATAGATGGGGGGGAAGGGGGAAGTTGCACCTTGGCAGTGGGTGCTTCTGTAGGAGCAGTGTACATCTGACTGGCACTATTTACAATGCCCCTCACATGTGGCTGGGGCATGTTCTGCACCTTGACTCTATCTGCTCCCAGGTGAACAGGACTGACTGGCACCACACACATTGCCTCTCACAGATGGCTGGGGCATTTTCTGTACCTTGGCTCTATCTGCTCCTAGATGTGCAGTACAGACTGGCCCCATACATACACATTGCCCTGCACATATGGCTCCATCTACGCCTTGACTCTATCTGCTCCTATATGTTCAGGACAATTGGGAACTGTACACTGCCCCTCTCAGATAGCTGGGGCATGTTCTGCACCTTGGCTCTATCTGCTCCTAGATGTACAGGACCGACTGGCACCATATACACCGCCCTGCACAGATAGCTGGGAGTATATCCTGCACCTTGGCATACAGGCACCATATACGTTGTCCCACACAGATGGCTGGGGGCATACAGTATGTAATACCTTGGCTCTAACTGTAATACCTTGGCTCTAACTGTTCCTAGATGAATAAGGCAGACTGGCACCATATATGTTGCCACGCACACAGATGGCTGGGGCATATTCTGCACCGTGGCTCTATCTGCTCCTACATGTACAGGACAGACTGACACCATATACACTGCCCTGCACAGATAGCTGGAAGTATAGCCTGCACCTTGGCATACAGTGCAGACTGGCACCACATACATTGCACTGAACATATGGCTGGGGGCATACAGTACAGACTGGCACCACATACACTGCCCTGCACAGATGGCAGGGGGTATATCCTGCTCCTTGGCATACAGGACAGACTGGCACCACATACATTGCCCTGCCCAGGTGGCTGGGGGCATACAGTATCCTGCAGCTTAGCATACAGGACAAACTGGCACCACATACATTGCCCTGCACAGATGGTTGGGTGCATACAGTATCCTGCACCTTGGCATACAGGACAGACTGGCACCACATACATTGCCCTGCACCGATGGCTGGGGGTATATCCTGCACCTTGGCATACAGGACAGACTGGCACCACATACATTGCCCTGCACAGATGGCTGGGGGCATACATTACAGACTGGCACCACATACATTGCCCTGCACAGATGGCTGGGGGCATACATTACAGACTGGCACCACATACATTGCCCTGCACAGATGGCTGGGGGCATACATTACAGACTGGCACCACATACATTGCCCTGCACAGATGGCTGGGGGCATACATTACAGACTGGCACCACATACATTGCCCTGCACAGATGGCTGGGGGCATACATTACAGACTGGCACCACATACATTGCCCTGCACAGATGGCTGGGGGCATACATTACAGACTGGCACCACATACACTGCCCTGCACAGATGGCTGGGGGCATGCAGTACCCTGCACCTTGGCTCTATGTGCTCCAAGGTGTGCAGGGTACAGCTGCCTGGCGCTCTACAGACGGCGGCCGGGAAGAGGCTCGCATGTCTGGGGACAATCTAATGTGCGCTCTATTCATTTGTGCTGGCTCTGGGGCCCAGGCCCCGGGCTGCTACACTCCTCCCCATCCGCCTTAAAGGCGCAGGGAGACACCACGTCGGCCGGACAGGCATAGCCCGTCACTCTGGCCCGCTGTAGAGGCCAGCGAAAAAGAAAGATGTCGGCAGTTTAGCTTACATTAACCCCGCCGCTGCCAATCCTCCTGTCCCTTAAGGCGGCACGGCCTTCTTTCCCCCCACCCACGGCGGCTCGCCGTCCGGACACAGAGCGGATCAGGCGAAAGGGTGACGCGTTCCTACTCACCGGATCTATATTCTTATTTAACGGTTCCCCTTTAAGCGGCGGTGGCGGACGCCCTCCCCTGTGATTCCTCCGCTCCTCCTCCCTCCCTCTCACTTACCGGCTCTCCATCCGCCTCCCTCCGCAGGCTCCCGCACACCCACAATGCAATGCGCTCAGCACACGCACACCCTCACTTCTACTTTCTCCGAGTCAGTCAGCTCGCTGTGTACAGTCACTTGGTATTCTTTGTCTCGGTACCGGGCTGCTGTGCATAACTGCAGGCTGACCTTTTATCACAGGGACAAGGGGGGCTCCTCCGTTCTATCACTTTACAGAACACTCCAGAGTGAATGGATCATTGCCCTCCTGTGTGTTTATAAATAACCTCGGAGGAATGTTGAGAAATCATTTTCTGTTTACAGTATAAAATATAATAAAACTATAAATATGACAGAACCACACAAAACACCGCCCGCCGGTGCACAGCGCAAGTCTCTAACTTTGCATCAGTGGTCAGTGCAAAACTATAAACATAGCAACACGCCGAGCGAATGTCGGCCGATTCTTGATGACTGTGTCTGCCGCCTTCCGCCCAGCATCCTTCAATTTAAATAAAATCAAAGGAGAGAATGTTGGCCAAACAGCAACTTACATCCAATCAGATGCCGGCACCGTGACAGCTGGCGGGGCGACTGTCAAAATACAACAGCCACAGCAGGAGATTCCTCCATCAATGCTGTTTAACATGGATGGGGGAATCTGTCAGTATACTCAGATTATAGGAGAATTATGAGGTGAGTGATTTTCACTCAGCCTCATAACAATGAAATGTCACAGGTCGGCTCAATAGATCGGGAAGTAAGCGAACACATACCAGCGCTCGCTCACTTCTCGATCCCGTGTCGGCAGATAGCCATGACAGGGGAGGGACTGGACTCCCCCCTCCCCTGTCCCATCCTCCAGCGCTGACTGGCGGAACAGACAGGGGGAGGGGACAGCTACAGCTGGCTTTGCCTCTAGATAGGCAGAGCCAGGTGTCACTCACGCAGCTGGGTGGATCCAGACATAATTGTCGGGATCCGTTCCGGCTGCGGCGTCTCAGTATACCGCTGTAGCTCGCGGTATACTGAGCTTAGGGTGACGGGAGGACGCTAGTTTGTGTCCTCCTATTACCCTTAGGAGAACTATGGGGAAAAGCCCTAACCCCATAGTTCTCATTTAAAGGACAACTCCAGGAACAGAAAAAATTAACCCTTGCAGCGCAGCCCCGACCATTAGATGTGAGGTAGCCGAGAGGCATACCACCACTGGAGCAGAATGGGAGAGAGGTGAGTGCTGACTGCCACAAGACTGAGGATCAGGCAAGTATTCCTTTCTCATTGTAGCCCCTAGACCAAAATGAGCACTTAACCCTTGCATTGGGGCTAAAGTATTGCCGGGATCCGTCCCGGCTGTGGCACTCTCAGCATATAGCAGGCAATAGCCCGCTATATACTGAGTTTTGGGTCACAGGAGGACATTATTATATGTCCTACCCTAACTATTAACAATACTGTATCTTATTTGTGCATCACTCAGCTGTAGATCCTCCAATCATCTCTGAATTGGTGCTGACACTGTCCTTCCTTCTGGAGGGTGGCAACTCCAGCTGTGTGGTCCCTGTGTGTGTTGTAAAGTAGACACCGCTCCAAGCTCACTCCCGTAAAGGACTACAATCTCACATTTAGGGGTCTATTCACGAAGCTGCCGAGGGTAGCCGAGTGAATGACCGATCTGAAGTGAAGTGAGCCGAACACTGTTCGGCTATTCACTTCAGGCTGTTACGGCTAATTTCAGCCGTACATCGGCTGAAATCAGCCGTACATTGGCTTGCTTCACGTGGCTTCGGGTCGGCCGAACATGCTCAGCATGTTCGGCTGACTCAAAGTGCATCAGCAGAGGGCGGGTACAATGCTAGTTTACTATTGGCTATTGCAGATTGAAATAGCCAATAGTAATGTCCCAATGCTTTTCAATGGGAAAATTCTTTTTTTTTTTTCTATTCTGACATGCTCGTATCAGAATAAAGAAAAAAAGACACAGCAGTGTTTCTCTCCTTGGCGGCCGGGAGCGGGAGACTCCCGGGGCGCCAGGGAGAGTTTGCTGTTTGGAGATCAGTGTCCCTGGTCCCTGGGGCCGAAGCTAGCCGAAGGATCGGCCGAAGCTACGGCTAGATCCTTCGGCAGCTTCGTGAATAGACCCCTTAGTTTCTAATTTGTATGGAGATTGTAGTCCATCACAGCAGTGAGCTTGGAGTGGTGGCTACTTTACAACATACATAGGGACCATGGGGAACAAAAGTAGTGGAAACATTTCCACAGTGCAATTCCCAAATAAAGAAATATTATTTTCCAGATGCTACAAGGATGAGAAAACACATCCCTGCATGCCACAGGTGCCCCAAAGACATTACAATGTCCATATCCTACTGGCACAAATAATGCCAGTTACTTACCTTTTTATTTGCTATTGGTGCTTAGGGGCAAATCTGACTCATCTTATATGTTGAAGGTTTCTTGCTTGTTTTGTTGCTTTCGATGGAGAGGGGGTGGTTCCCCTTTCTCATGTATAGTTGAAATGTTATGAACATATAGTCAGGGCAGCAATCAGAAATTTTAGGGCCCCTTACACGGCTTTAGGCCGGGACCCCCCTCTGGACGCAGGGCTTAGTGACGCGCTGGACGCAGGGCTTAGTGACACGCTGGACACAGGCCCCACCTGAGAGTGACCCTGCAGAGCCCACCATAGATGCTGCACAGCCCATCTGAGACTGTCTATGGTGGGCTCTGAAGGGGTCTCAGGTTGGCTGGTCAGGGCTGCATCCCTCCCTCCTTTCCTTCCTTCCTTCCTAGCTCCTCTTACCTGCACACATGGCCTCGTCTGCCGCCGGACAGGCCAGAAGTGACGTCACTTCTGGCCAGTCCGACATCAGACGAGCAGCGTCGCTGATGGGGCCCTAGCTTGTCTCACAGCCATTGGAGCGGCAATGCCTGGACCCTGCGCTGCTAGGGCCAGGCCTCCCCCTCCTTGCCCTTCACCGTCGGCCGATAGTCATGTAAGGGACTCGGGCGGGCCCCCCAGGCTGCCCGGGGCCCTTACATGAGTATCAGCCGTACCCCCCTGATGGCTGCCCTGTATACAGTCCTTGTTGTTCCATTTGTAAAAACAAATCAAATTTTAAAAAGCAAGTTTAGTTTATTTACTGAATAAGCTGTACTTTTATTTCAAGCATTATACTTTTATATACACTGCATTTCACATGCCTAGTGTAACAAAATGACTTTCAATTTGTAAAAATACTCCAGACTGAATTTGTTTTTCAATTTTTCTGAAAATTTCATTTTTTGGGGGGAAAAAAACATTTTTTTTTCTCATGGCTTCAAAATTTCCAGAACTTTTACATCTCTAGTTGTAACCCTCCCTAACTCTAGTTGTAACCCTCCCTATGAAGTTTTTTTTTTCTAACCACTAACATCAGTTTATGTTAATAGAAATAAATAGGGATGCAATGATACTGATACCAGTATCGGTATCGGTGCCGATACCGAGTATTTGGGTGAGTACTGGTATTGGCCCAAATGCTCCGATCCTTACCCCGATACCGTAACTTCTGGTCAGAGGGAGATTTTCCTCTGACCGGCAGTGCCACAAGGGAGCATGGAGTCGGCTTCCCGGCCAAACAGAAAGCCGGGCGGCAAGTAATGACCCGCCTCCCAGCTTCCAGATTGGCGCGAAGCTGGCTCTCATATAATTCTACGTACCTCTCATACATTTATAAAAGCATGGATAATGGACAATAAGAAATTATTGAGCATTGTGCATATTCAAAGATGACAATGCCAGGATTTATTGGACTCAAAATGTGAAAGAATGGTTCAGGGAGCATGAGACATCATTTTCACACCTGGATTAGCCACCACAGAGTCCAGACCTTAACCCCATTAAGAATCTTTGTGATGTGCTGGAGAAGACTTTACACAGTGGTCCAACTCTCCCATCATCACTACAAGATCTCGGTGAAAAATTAATGCAATTGTGGATGGAAATAAATGTTGTGACATTGCATATGCTTATTGAAACAATGTCACAGGGAATGTGTGCTGTAATCAAAGTTAAAGGTGGTTCAACGAAATATCAGAGTGTGGCTTTTTTTTGGTCCAAGCAGTATATCTTTACTAAAGAATTATTCGGAGTGAGTTTAAATAGGCCGCGGCCGCGACGTCACGCGGCCGCGGCGCACTTCCGCGTTCCAGCGTGGAACGCACAGCACCTCCCCCAATGGGGGAGGAAACCCTCGGCGGCATCTCCCTCTGCTGCGTTCCACCCTGGAACGCAAACGGGACGCGGCCCGGAGCAGAAGGATGTTACAGAAAGCCATATCTGCTTGTCCATGAGGAACACTAATAGCTTGTCTTCCAACTTACAACACCAGAAGAAGAATGAACAAAGTATGAGCATTGGGTTACATAGTTAGTCAGGTTGAAAAAAGACGCATGTCCATCGAGTTCAACCTATAGAGATATGGGGAAAAAAAGCCTAAACTGAACACTATGCCCATAGTTACCCACTGTTGATCCAGAGGAAGGCAAAAAAAAACCCCTATAAAGCATGGTTCAATTTGCTCCAACAGGGTAAAAAAATCCTTCCTTATCCCAAATGACAACCGGATATTCCCTGGATCAACAACCTCTGATGCTTAATATACCTATAAGAACTCAATATCCAGTAATATTCTGTGCATTTAGGAATACATCCAGATTTTTTTTTAAATAATTAACTGAGCTAGCTAGAACTACCTCCTGGGGGAGTCTATTCCACATTTTCACAGCTCTAACTGTGAAGAAGCCTTTCCATATGCAAAGTTTAAACCTCTTTTCCTCCACACACAAAGAGTACACCTTTGTCCTTTGCAGTGACCTTAAAGTGAATAATTTGGCACCAAGCTCACTATATGAAAAATGTATGTATTTATACA